GGGAAAGAAATTATAGAAATTATACTTTTATTTAGCAAGGATGCTTAAAATTGATCAAAAGTGATGATAAAGGCATTTATAATGTTACAAAAGATTTCTATTTCAGATAAATAGTGTTCATATCGATATCGGAAATATATCGTATCGACCGAAATTAAGAAATATATCGTGATATCAATTTTGGCCATATCGTCCAGCCCTAGTCACATGTATGTCACAATACTGAAAAAATAAGGAGCCAGTTCACACTAAGAACTGTAACTATAAAGAAAATAAGTATATGAGCATCCACACCAACAGACAATAAGGTTCTGTTTATGATAAGCATGCACTAAAGTTTTATCTTCTGCCCTATAGCTCGAGTTATAGTTGTGGTATAGACTCTGCTATTGGTGCGAACGGGCCTTAAACGTTTTAAAGAGTTTTAAAAATAATAATTAATTAATGTATTTATTTTATTTTGAATAAAACCAGTTATGTTCCCACATCAAACACATTTTAAGTTACTTGAAAACACTTGTATAATGCACCATAAAAAATAAATTGTAGATAAAATTTAAAAATCCAAGGCAACTTTTTAGGTTCTCTCAAATATTGTCTTAATAATTGTACTAAGTGACACTACTTTGTTTAGTCAATTTCAATTTGTTCGTTCATTAAATACAATATGCCCCATTCAGCCAATACGTTCGTCAAGACAACTAATGATTTATTATTCAGCAAATTTTCATTTAGTAACAATAAATTAATTTATTTTTTGATAGCGGTTTTCTTATAGGACACTTGATATGTTAAGTGAACTATGCTATCTTTGTTTGTGAAGGAACAATCATCCTACAAAGCAAGAGGATATTCTTTTAAATAGTTGAACATACTGTAGGCTTCAACACTTGACACACAAACCTCAAGAATGGTGACAATCAACAAATGTAAAAGGATGAGCTCTTTACATATACACTACACTAGTTATTTAGGCAAGTTCTGTTGGTCTGACATGGGTTTTTATGGTGTCTCCCACCTGGTGTCTCCTCAATCCTCCTCTGCAGCTCGGTCTCAACTTGATCTAGAACATTCTCCAGTTCATCCAGGAGTTTCTTCAGGTATTTCATGTTATAATGGTCAAACAATTTACTCTAGAGAGATTCAAACAAATAGTGTTTTGTGACATTCGGCAATCACTTTCTTGGCACTGTAAACAAGACTGTAATCTAAATTAAGTGTACATACTCAGTGAGATCATCTGTGGTCTTAGCTAATGTGCTACAAAGAGCATATGCCCAGAAAGGGTAATTATACGAATAACTGAAACTGAACACTGCATGAATGTTTACTTACTTTCAGACGTCTCTGTTTTGCAATATAAGCATCTTTAAGATCGGGATTCTCCGCTGCTAGTTTCTTAAGCTCAGATTCCGTGTTTAAAATCTGTGCTATAAGACAGAAATCACTGTTAAAAGGAATAGTTCACCCAAAATTTTAATTCTTATAATTTACTCACCCTCAGGCCAGGGGTGTCCAATTCTGCTCTAGGAGGGCCACTGTCCTGCAGAGTTTAGCCCCCCAGGACTGAGCTTAGACAACCCTGCCTTAGGCCACACTAGAAGAGTTTGTTTCTTCTTTAGAACAGATTTGAAGAAATTTAGCGTTGCTTCATTTGCTCACCAATGGATCCTCTGTCTGCAGTGAATGGGTGCCGTCAGAATGAGTCTAAACAGCTGATAAAAACATCACAATAATAATCCACATGACTCCAGTCCATCAATTACCCTCTTGTGTAGCGAAAAGCTGCATATTTGTATCCGTAATTATATCCACAATACATCAAGACGTTTTTAACTTCGAACCATTGCCTCCAGCTAAAATGCAAATCCTCTATCCATAATATTGCTTTCTCCAGTGAAAATTGATTTGTTTTTCATAAACATGCAGCTTTTTTACTTCACAAGATGTTAATTGATGGACTGGAGTCATGTGGATTACTTGTGGGTTTTTCTCAGCTGTTTGGACTCTCATTCTGACGGCACCCATTCACTGCAGACAGAGGATCCATATCACAATAATAATCCACATGACTCCAGTCCATCAATTACCCTCTTGTGTAGCGAAAAGCTGCATATTTGTATCCGTAATTATATCCACAATACATCAAGACGTTTTTAACTTCGAACCATTGCCTCCAGCTAAAATGCAAATCCTCTATCCATAATATTGCTTTCTCCAGTGAAAAAAGCGGTCCCTTTTGAATCGGGACAGAAATATGCAAAAATCAATCACCATTTACAAGCATAAACAGTCCAAAACAGTTCTAAACAAATAGCCTATATCAGTAGATGTTGTTTTGAGAGGACTATAGGGGACTTTTTCACTGGAGGAAGTGAAATTATGGATTATGGACTGGTATTTTGGCCAGAAACAATATTTTAAAGTTAAAATGCCTTAAAACCCTTTAACTGTCACCCGTACCCCCTGTGTGGGACGCCTAAGTTTACTTCACTATATTACAATTAAATCCTAATCTAATCATGACAAACTATATATCGTTGGAAAGTTCTAAGACTCCTAAATAGATATTTTACCAATGTTTTTGTTAAAAATTATGTAGGAAAAGTAATAGATTAATTTTTGACAAGAGTGCACCTCAAAAATCTACATCATAACAGGAGTTCTGACCTTTGTCAAAAAAAGTCTTCTTTGTTGCCTTTTTCTCTATCACACTTTAGAAATCATCAGAAATTATATATCAATTGAAAACTTTAAATCTCAAAATTCATCCTTTGAAACCCATTTTAAAATCAAACATTGCATTACCATGAAAATGGTACATCAATATCATGTTACAAAATGTTTTCGTTCATGAATTATAAAAATGTAAGTTTGGATCGTGCACTTTCACGTCTATGTTCAAAAATGTGAGTGACAGTTAAGGGGTTAATGATTGATTTGTTTTTCATAAACATGCAGCTTTTTTACTTCACAAGATGTTAATTGATGGACTGGAGTCATGTGGATTACTTGTGGGTTTTTCTCAGCTGTTTGGACTCTCATTCTGACGGCACCCATTCACTGCAGAGAATCCATTGGTGAGCAAGTGATGTAATGCTAAATTTCTCCAAATCTGTTCTGATGAAGAAAAAAGCTCATCTACATCTTGGATGGCCTCAGGGTCAGTACATTTTCAATTTTGTTTTGAGTGAACTATTCCTTTAATTCACAGTATTCACAAAAAATTGAAGGCTCATTTTAAGTTATTATGCTCAGTCCCCTTCTTACTGCGAATGTGGGTGGTGGCGTAAGCTGGGATGTGGGAGTCTACGGTGATCTCTGGGTGAAGGATGCAGCCATGGGTGTACGCATCCATCTGCAGAGAGTCCAGCAGTTCTCTGTAATGCTGAACTCGATGATAATACGTGCTTCCCTCTTCTGGGATCAGCTTTGGGGTATGTTCTGATTCAGAGAAGGGCACAAAGCACATATAGAGTATGCATTATGACCCAAAAATGTAGCTGCAATCTACATGAGCTGCTCTCCAGGGCAAATATCTTATTTTGACTCACCCTTCATTGCCTCTCATGCTATCCAAATTTCTGCACAGGCATGCAGAACACAAATGCAACCAAACGAAAAGAAGATAACAAATGCACTGAACACAGCAAAAGCAGCTCACAAAAAAAAAAAAAAAAAAAACATAAGCCTGCAGTATCAAACAATTACAGCTATTAACACATTGGAAATCAGCTGACATCTAATACAGACATTATGAAAATGGAGTGTTTTAAATGCATTTATTAAATGTGTATTCAGGTGCATGAGTTCATTTGTTTAGTCATGCGTTCATTGAACCCTCTGATGCATGAATTATTAAATCACTAAGACAAAACTTAATGTTTTTTTTTTTTTTACTTTAAAACAATAACTATTAAATATTCCCAACCATTTATTTTATTTTAATTTAAAATATAATGACTACAGGTCAAAAGTAGTAAGTTGTAATAATTAAGATTGTTTAATATTTTTGAAAGAAGCCTCTTATACCCTCAAGGCTGCATTTATTTGACCACAAATACAGAAAAAAACAGCAACATCATGTAATTTAAAAAAACTGTTTCTTATTTTAATGTATTTTAAAATGTAATTTACTTAAGTTATGTGACTGCAAAACTACATTTATAGCAGCCATTATGCCAGTCTTCAGTGTCACATGATCCTTCAGAAATCATTCTAATATACTGATTTGCTGTGCAATTAATATGAATTATTTTTGGTGCTCAACTATTAATAATTGTTCTTATTATCCATTTTTGCTGCTTAATATGTTTGTTTAAAAAATTATACTGTGATTTTTTTTTCAAGACTCTTTCATTTTATGGTCACTTTTGGTCAATTTGATGCATCCTTGCTGAATAAAAGTATTATTGCAGCAAATCAAAATGATTTCTAAAGGATCACGTGACACTGAAGACTGGAGTAATGACTTGAAAATTCTGACATCAGAGGAATAAATTACATTTTAGAACATATTAAAACAAAAACTAGTATTTTCAATTATAATAATATTTTACAATATTACTGTTTACTGTATTTTTGATCAAATAAATGCAGCCTTGGTGAGACATTTCCACAAACATTAAAAAAAATCTGAATTATTTCAAACTTTTGACTGGTAGTCTAGAGAGACTTGGTTAGCCATGTTGAACTAAATACATTTAAAAAACACAATGACATATACAGTTAAAGGGACAGTTATATATTATTATTATTATTATTATTATTATTTGTATGTGACATCACACCCTGAATGATTAAAAGGATTTTAAAGAAATGTGGTGAATGCATCAGAGGGTTCATCAACATTATATGCCCTTTGGTACTCTTGAATTTATAGCATTTACACTGCAATTCATGCATTCTGTAATGTAAATACTGTTTTACACACAACATTAACCCCAAATCCTAAGTGTTTACCATCACAGAAGTTCTGCTCCAAATAGTCCATGATTTGTGTGGGGTCACAGATGACATTGTCATTGTGAACCAGCACAGGAACCTCTCCAGTGGGGTTCAGGCGCATAAACCAGGGCTCATTGTGTTCACTCAGAGGCAGACTCACATCATTCTCCTCACACTGAAGACCTTTCTCAGCTATTGCCAGTCTCACCTACGACAGAAACACAACGTTCATTTGTTTGGGTGTTTCATTAGAACATTATACCAAAGAAAGACTGAGACAGCAGTTATTTTGCACTCGTACTCTCATCTTGTTTAAGAAAACAACAGCATGCCATGCTCTTGTTTTACAATTCTACAATACCATTGTAATTAAGAAATTCAACACAGCCTACACACTTGCATTACGCATCATTAATAATGTATAACTTATGAATAATTAACATGCATGCTGTCAATCAGCAATTGTTTCATTGAGGCTGCCATATGAATAGGAATAATGCAAATAATGGCAGGTTTTTAAAATATGTGAATATCACAATCAAAACAACAGATCAGATGCTGCATCCACCCTGATGCTCTTGGCCTGCCTACGCCAGAAATGTTGAATTATGGGATCTCTTACCTTCTGAGAGCTGAAAGACTGAGTCCAATGATACAAAATCAGTTTAGACTCTTTGTTTTTTGTTCTCTGGACAACCTCACCGCTGTCCTGTGACAGTGCATCCTTCTTTATTAGGATTTCCTTCTCATCCTGAGATTCACCGATGTTTTCCTCCGCCATTTTATCAGTCATTGGCCGTGTTGCAAAATCTAGTCGCCTTCGACGGTATGTTAGTGTATGTCACGCGCGTGCAGAATTCTTGCTCATCAAACGCGCTTGCAGTGTTTATTGAAATCACGGACGCGTGTGCCGATCCACAAATGCTGTCTAGGTAGTCAGCGCACTAGGTTTTGAGACACAGCCAGTGTGTTGAACGGCGCAGCCTCCAGTGGTGGTACCCAACTTCTTAAAGGACACACATCCACATTAATAATCGTGAAATGTAATATAAATACAAATTAAATATGTATGTTTACATTATTTTTCTATTTCAAAAGTAAAAATCTAATTATTACTTCTATAGTAGGCTAATCTAAAATAAAAACAGGTAACAGCTCTTTTGTTAATATTTATAGTATATGCATTTTCGTGGTTGAAGAGAATAAATCAGAAGCGCACTTTTTAAATGAGCCAACAGATGTCTCTGTAGTCTATCTTCTCTATCAAATTACATTGAGCCGTTGATTACAAACTGGTATAACAGGTTGAGATTTTATTTTTTTATTTTTTTCTGTTGAAAATTTCGACTTAGCATACATATATATATTTTTTTATCATAATTTATCATTTGCAGTATAGGCCTACTACTAATAAAAAAAATATTCGCAAATTAAAAAAAAAAATTCAAAATACTTTTTTTTGTTGCCACATTTCACAAATGCTATATTATTTTGTTAACTATCACAGCATATTAAATACACGTAAATTAAAATGTTGATTTCGCAGACACTTGGGTTTATTATATTGTATAGGCCAATATAATTCATCCATCCAAATCACAGAGATTTTACATAACTAAGGGATGGCAGCAAACATATCAACTAAATTGTTGAAAGTGATTATAGACAGACATCTCTACAAAAAAAAAATTAGGATTTAATTCAGTGTTGAGTAACAAAACAGGCACATGCTGTTTTTCATAAATGTAATATCTATATTGTATTATGTTATGGTCTTAAAGCCCCCTGCTGTCCAAGAAAATATTCAAAGCTGTTAATATAATTAACCAATTAGTTTTGTGATATATATTTAAGGGGACAAATTAAAATTAGAACAACATTAAATTAAGAAGCACGATGTCATGTTGTACCTCAGTTTGTAGCGTTTTAATTAAGTTTGATTATTGTAATTTATTATAAAGAAATCTAAATGATCTTTCAGCCCCCTTGGAAGTATGCTGAGGCCCCCAGTGGCTCCTGGGCCCTTGCTGTAGGGGTAGTGTGCGGTAATGTCATAATTTTGATAAAAAAGGGAAAACTGAATTACAAAACTAAAAAACATAGCTAGATTTCAAATTGTCGGAGAGTTGGGAAATTTCAACAATCCATGAAATGCAGGCCTACATGTCTATACATTTCTACACGTATATCCTTTTATCACATCTAATGCATCCTTTTCAACAACCTGCCAAAGCCTTCAATGCCACAATAACAAGAGGTTTTAACATAACCACATCATTAACAACATAGCTGCCAATAAATAAATAAATTTCAGTGCTTTTAAAACATTACGTTTTCAGACAAACAGACAAACAGACAAAGGCTTCCAAAAAGCCAATTTATTTTTATGTACACAAAAAAATTGTGTAGGATTTAGTTTTACAATTTGTACTCAGAAATTGTTAGTAAATTTCACAAATAATTACACAAGTAATACATTTAATTAAAAGTTACATTTTGAAATAAAAAGTTTGAAACAGTATTTTCTTGTCAATTGTACTCCAATAAACTTAAAAACTTTTTTTTTTCCAGTGTATATTGAATTTGCCTAATAAATAAATAATTATATAATGTATTGTTTTTCACATTCCAAAATGTCATGAACATAAAAAGCACATCAAAAATACAAACACACATTTCTATCAAACACCCAGGTTTCCTTTTAATGGGTTTCCAGATCCTTCCAGAATAATCATGAGTAAAAACAACGATAAAACAAATGCAAAATTGTTCTTTGTCTAGTCCAAAAAATTCCCAGGTATATGAAATTCAGCTTGGATCTTTCCAAAACATGCTGAGCTGGATAAATCATTTTGTAGGATACTTCTTTAATTTTGTTATTAATACACAATTTGTTTAGCATTTTCCATGCTTTATTTTTTCCAAATAAAGAAGACCAAAAATCTTGCTGTAGGAAAAGAGAAGTGACAGAACAGAGCATTTCTTATAATATAACCTCTGAACTTGCGCCCTCAGTGAGGGTGAAGTAGGCGGGGCTGTGGCAATGACGCGGGAGGATTGGCAGCGTCTCTCGCTGCCGCGCCGCGGTCTAGTTGTGTCTGCTCTGCGCAGCGCAGCGCCTGCGAGCGGAGGGAGTCGGTGAAACGCAGCGGCGGTTCCAGCGTGTGCGGCTTCGGTAATGATGCACTAAACCTGCCTGCTCATTCATACTCTCACAACCCAAGCAGAAATACCAAACAACAACATCTCCATTGTGATTAATTCTTCCCGGTTTAACCGTTGCTGCTGAACTCGGCTTAGAAAAGAAGGTTTAATGAAAGAGAAAGACAAGAAGCGCACGGCAACGTTACGACTGTTTTTATTTTCATCCCATTCTGAATGACGGGCGGACGGTTCGACTTCGACGATGGAGGCACTTACTGTGGCGGATGGGAGGACGGGAAAGCCCACGGACACGGCATCTGCACGGGACCCAAGGGTCAAGGCGAGTACGCCGGGTCCTGGTCCCACGGTTTCGAGATAGTCGGGGTCTACACCTGGCCCAGCGGGAATACGTACCAGGGCTACTGGTCGCAGGGCAAACGCCACGGGCTGGGTGTTGAAACCAAGGGAAAATGGGTTTATCGTGGGGAGTGGAGTCACGGGTTCAAGGGTCGATATGGAGTTCGGCAGAGCACCAATACACCTGCTAGATACGATGGGACGTGGAGTAATGGACTACAGGATGGCTATGGAGTCGAAACCTATGGGGATGGTGGTAAGTGCCACTGCAAATGCCATTTGTATGTTTAGGGATGAGAATCGTAAGCAGTTGAACCATTACTTTTGTCGATTCCTTAAATGTCCCATTAATTATTCTTTTATTACTTTTGAGGAAGAAATGTTTGAAATAAGACATTCTGTGATTTACAGCAGACTTTTAGCCTACCAAATGATCATTATTACAGGTTTAGCAAATCAGGGATAGCCTACATTTTATTCTGTGTTTACAAAGACAAATGTTAATCCTACTCCTAAACATATATTATAATTGCGGGCCTAAACATACCAAAATATGGTAACGTATTTGGTATTTCATTAATTGATTAATTCATAAATATAGCAAAACTCGTATCTTTGACTACAACGCGTCATATGAACAACCAGTCAGTTACGACGCTGATTTAAGCCTTAAGTACAACATAACACTGTAACAGCTGTTGCTTCATTTCGATTCGGACATGACGAAAGTAATAACTTGCGGTTCAGTGAGTCAGATTCAATTCAGTAACCGCTCCGACTGATTTACAAACGTTTTTGATTCACTAAAAAGAACCGGCTCATTAGAGTCATTCCTTCGGGAGTCGGACACACTTTGAAAACGCTGAATGTTTTTTTTTTTGATTCGCTAAAAAGAATCGGATCAAACGTCTCATTCGTCTGAAAATTTGTCTGCTCATAAATACATCTCTGAGAACTTTCTGGACCACTGACATGAACTGGTCGCATTGTTTTTTTTATTTGTTTTAGTTTTTTATTTAGTTTTAAAATTCCATTAAAGTACTTTGATGGCATAATTGTGTACATACATGCCAAGCATTATAGCCTACACACAAGTAATGACAAGAAAAAGAAATGTATAATATTACAATAACAACAAAAATAAGATTAAAATAAAGTGATACGTGTTGAATAAAAATAAGATTAAAGAACAATAAAATAAGTATCTCTCTCTCTCTCTCTGTGTGTATATATATATATATATATATATATATATATATATATAATAAACACCTATCAAAACATTGCAAACAAAAAATACTGTAATAGGCAATGTGTACATTGTGTTTTTCAATATATTGATGATATATTCTTTAAAAAGAGCCTGATCATGAGAGTCATTCACTCAAGAACTGTACACACACTGGCCTCGCTGTATGGTTTTGGTTCACTAATAGAACCAGCTCATGAGAATCACTTGTTCGGGAATCAGACTGCACTGAACGATGTAAGTTTTATGCAGTAGATTCAGTAAAGTTCTTCCCACTGAATACTAGGATACAATTCCATAAGAATTACATTTAGAGAATCTTTAACATAATAGAACGTCTTAAAAAAAGGCCACAGGTCATTGCCATTGGGTGTAAATAAAACCCAATCTTTTCAAAGTACACTGAAGAATTTCTGGTGCATGAGAATTAATATTTATTTGTATTTATTTTACATAAATGCACAATATATTGTAATTTACACATGGCATGATTTGACCAAGATTGTTAATTAAACTTGTGCCACAGTTTGCTCTATGCCTTTCATGGCATTGCAATGTGACATCCAACATTTACCTTATGTTTTACATTTTGGAGCCTACATTAGTTTCCAAATTAGTTTCGGGGTCTGTGTCATTTGTGTCAGTGATTTTAGATTAGGCTGACTCTGATGAACACTGTGAACCTAAAACACATTTGTCATGCATCACTGAAGGGGCAAGAGAATTTAATTATCCAATTTTCATCAGTTACACTGCGCTGTTTGCTTACTTGATCTACATGAGTTTAATGTTCCTTTCTGTTTCATAAGGCACATATCAAGGCCAGTGGATGGGGGGCATGAGGCATGGCTATGGTGTGCGACAGAGCGTGCCTTATGGAATGGCCACCATTATCCGCTCTCCGCTTCGCACCTCCCTGGCCTCCCTAAGAAGTGTGCAAAGCAATGGCGCTGTTCTGCAGGATGCGGTATCCGACACACCAGTTGGAAGCCGTGGTGGTTTCGTGCTGAATTTTCACAGCGACACCGAAGTCGTCACCGGGAAGAAGAAGGGCCTGTTCCGCCGTGGGTCCCTCTTCGGCAGCCTCCGCCAGCTACGTAAATCTGACTCCAAAACGTCCATCTCTAGCAAACGGAGCTCGGCGCGTAGCGACGCCACCATGAGCCGCATCAGCTCCAGCGACGCCAACTCCACCATCAGCTATGGAGACGGAGAGGTGCCCGATGAGTACA